CTTTTTTTTTTTTAATTTGCCAGCTCTGGGCCCATAACCTGTTGTAATATATTAATCCTTGATTCAATTTATTACTTTAATGTTTGAATTCTTTTAATAGAATGAATATAATTTAGTTTTCTCTAATAAGGAAAACGATCAATAGATTGTTTTGATTAAAGAGAAAACTGAAATCAATAAAGCATTACTGAGATAATATATGTTCTAACAGTTTTCGATTTGCACTTCGTTGTCATCAATATCTTCAGTTAAATGTGATTCTGATAGCATTAATAATTTTGGTTTTTTAGCTACAGATCCAAAACACTAAAACTTGACCATAAGCTTCGACAATTACTATAAACGATGTCTATTTCATTATTTGATTGCTAATCGACATAATTTATGCCCCTTTTGCTGACTTCTACTTTTCGTTTATAAACTGCGCACTCATTAGACCAGACACTGTGATTTACGTTTAGTTTCAAATTTAACTTTTCATTGATTTTGATACAATTTATGCAAGTTTCTTTTAAGCTTTCACAGTTTGCTTTTTTATGATCTTCAGAAGCACAAACATTGCATACAGGCTTATGTTGACAAGTCGAAACATTATGGTTGAAACCAAAGCATTGATAACATCTACGAATATATATATTGTCGACAATCTTATAACTTTCCCAGTCAGCCACGAGACGTTTTTCTTGCATTATTTGATTGTAAGTTTCACCATTCACTTGAATGACAATATTGAAAACTCCTACAATTATATTTCCCTTTGATTTGACTTGTTCTCTTTTCACAACTTCCATCATACATGACTCAAATTTTAGACAGGAATTATGCTTTTTTAAGTCATTAAGGAGCTCATCATCATTTTCAATTGGATTACGAATTTTTAAAATTTTTATTCTGGGCTGTCGGTTATTGGGCTTTTGTATTAAATATTCTTTCCCCATTGATTTATTTACTGCTGAGAGGACTTTTTCACATTTATCTTCGTCGTCGCATTCTATAATTAAACCTCCATTTGCTGCACTCGACATCTTGTTCACACTCAGATCCGATTCTTTTATTAAGCTTTTAACAGAGGATTTAGTATCATTTCTATTTTTTGTTCTATCCTTCGGTACTAGTACAACAACTGGAGCTTGTTTTTTTTTCTTGACAACTTCATTCCATGCTGGCTGACAACGATCGTCGATTACTTTTGTAATTTCATTCATAAGTTGGACATCATTGGTCTCTTTTTTTTTAATTCTTCAATTTGTTTTGATACTTTTGCAATTTCATTCATACATTGGACATCATTGGTCTCTTTTTTCTTTAATTCTTCAATTTGTTTAGATACTTTAGTAATTTCATTCATACATTGGACATCATTGGTCTCCGTTTTTTTTATTTCATCAATTTGTTGACAGACTTTTTTTATTATATAATTTGATATGTAAATTTAAGAGCTTTAATAAATTTCGCATATATATATATATATAATTTGATATGTACTTACTCGATGAAGATT